ACTATCATCACTGTGGCATAGATGCGAACGCAAATTCGTCGTAGCTGAAGTAGTTTGCTTGTTCTATCTCAATTACGACACAGTTGCTAGAAAAAAGGTGGTGACATGGGTTATAAAACTACTCTAACTTCATATTTTCACTCAGTACACACATACAGAAACGAAAAAAATCATAATAAAATAGCTTCGGCAAATATTCGTTCGTTATAATGATGCGTTTTTCTTTGTCAGTACATTTTTTTCATTTCGCGGAAAAATGTCTTCAAAATAGAAGTCTTCGAACTGATTTATTATTTTTTAATCATATTGTGGTAATCTTTATATGTAACTAAATAGAAAATTTTAGTTGACATTGTGACTCATGAATATGATGAAAAATAATTCGAATTTATCTTTTTGACATGTATCAAATGGAATTTGTTTTTCATAATTTTATGCATCGTCAAGATTGAACTAGTTGCTATAATAAAAAAAAAGATCTGCATAAAATATGAGAATGTTTTCCTTAGCATTGTAAATCGAAGGTTGAACTAATAAAGAAATTCACATTCATAATGAAAAGAGCAAAATGAATGAATGAATGAATGAAATCTTAGAATTTTTTTCGTTCTTACCAAAAAGAGAAGAATAAACAATGAGGTAGACGAGACATCAATTATAATGTCAGTTGAGTTTTCATCTAGATGAAAAAACAAATCGAAGTTGGAAAGAATAGCAATACACGAAATGGCGATGTTGGAATTTTTTGTTCGTTCCTTTGTTTACTGACTACTGTATTTTCAATTTTGAAATTAGGCGCAGTTTCTCGTTGTGTAAACGAGACAAAAAGTACTTAGATTATATGTCGCCGAAAAATCGAGAAAAAAAATAAAAGGTACCGACTATAGAAATAGAAACAGTAATTTCTGTATAAATAGCAAGAATTCGTTCACAATTCTCGACTTCGATCACGCAGCAATACATACTCAACATGAGCGAACGAAAGTCAGCTGCTGCAATGCCACCAAGACGTCGTATGACTCAGAATTACTTGGTGATTTGGGTCGATGGCAACATCGACGAAAACAATAGCGATTGCCGAAATACACTGGCACAATTACGCGCAGCGGTAAGCGATGTGAATGTGTGCATGACACCAGAACAGTGTGTCCAATTTCTCAATGAAATTGATGATGGCAAAGCCTTCATAATTTCATCGGGAGCATTGGGACAAAGCCTTGTAAACGACATTCACAGCATACCAAAAGTGGATGCCATTTACATTTTCTGCGGCAACAAAACGCGCCATGAATTATGGACGAAGGAATGGCCAAAGATTCGAGGTGTTTTCACCTCGATCAAGCCAATATGTGAATCGCTCAAAAAGGTCGCCCATGAGTGCGATCATGATTCGATCCCGATGAGCTTCGTTCCGAAGCAAATAGCGACAGAAGGGGCAACAGGCCCGGATCAAAAAACTCTTGATCAATTACCGCCATCGTACATGTACTCGGTAATTTTCAAGGATATCATCCTAGAAATTGATGACGATGACAAAAAATCTATGGATACTTTAGCAATATATTGCCGGGACCAAAATATTCCCGAAACAGAAATAAACGATTTTAAGCGTAAGTACCGCCAGAAATCACCCGTCTGGTGGTATACAAAAGAGATTTTTCTCTATGGAATGCTTAATCGTGGCTTNGAAGCGATGACCAAATTAGGATTTTTTATTCGACATTTGCATATTCAGCTGGAAGCATTGTACCAGGAACAATCAGCGAATTTCCAAAAAGCATTCATCGTTTACCGTGGCCAGGGGCTCAGTCAACAAGACTTTCAGAATCTAAGTAATTCAAAAGGTGGACTACTTTCATTCAACAATTTCTTATCCACTAGTAAGAGATTATTCGCATATGTCGTTTCTTTTTCTGCATATATGAATATTTTGAATTTGGTGAAGATAATAAAAACTAATGTGACTAACAAAGTTAAATCACTGAACTTT